AAAAATTCATTGAAACAAACATCTTAAATTTAAAAATAGAGCGCTTTACAAAATGATTTTACTGATAAAATTTTACCAAGTGCTCTACATTCCACGTCCTATCAATTTTTTATCCCTTTGGAGTCACCAACTTGTAGGTACCTGGGCGAACAACGGCCTTGATGATATAAGGTCCTTCATATTTCTTAGCCACCTTCCCACCCTTAGTTGGTTGACTCTTCTCTCGCTTCCTCAGGACGTAATCCCCCACCTGGAATGCCCTTGGTTTTACTCTACTATCAAAGTAAGATTTCACCTGGCGACGATAATTCTCTGCCCGGATCCGTGCTTCATCCCTTCGTTCCTCTACGAAGTTCTGTTCTACGGCTTGATTCTGTTCATTTACTTCCGGGTCATATTCTATCTCTCTCCTGGTAGGGATTACTGCCTCAGCGGGAGCCCGGGCTTCAAAACCATAGGCTAAGCCGAAAGGAGTGTCACCCGTAGCTCTCCTTGGAGTTGTTCTGTATGTCCACAGGATCCTGGGTAGTTCATCCACCCATTTACTTCCCTCTGAAAGCAGCTTCTTTTTTATTCCATTTATGATTGTCCTGTTGACGTTCTCCACTTATCCATTAGCCTGAGGGTAGGCAACAGACACTTTTGTATGCTGAATTCCCCAAGTTTTGAGGAAGTCTTGAAACTTTGCTTCCTCAAACTGGGTTCCATTGTCAGATATGATCTGCTTCGGGACCCCAAACCTACAAAGTATATTGGTTCCAACGAAGTCGATCATCTGCCTTCCTGTTATCCCGGCAAGTGGTTCATCTTCCACCCACTTGGTAAAGTAATCAATGGCCACCACTATCCACCTTGCCTATCCAACTCTCTTTGGCAGGGCTCCCACAATATCAATTCCCCAACTTGAGAAGGGAATCACAGAGCTAATGGGCGTGTAGTTCGTGGATGGCCTCCCGGGCATATTCTGGAATTGTTGAAAGGTTGGGCACTTGCGCACGTACTCTTCGCAATCCTTCCTCATCGTTGGCCAGAAATATCCCTGGATAATCGCCCTTCTGGAGATAGAGTATGTACCCTGATGTGCAGCACATACTCCCTCGTGTATTTCCTCCATTAGTGCCTTTGCCTTCGCCGCCCTGAGGCAACGGAGTAAAACACCGTTATAAGATCGCTTATAGAGGACTCCATCCTGCACCTTGTAGGTGGGTCATCCGTAGAAAACGGGCTTCTCGGGAATCCTCCGGGGCTACACCGTCCTCAATGTATTTTGCCAACCTGTCCAACCATTCCAGGGGATCAGCTGATACCCAGAACACTTCATCTCTGTTAAGACTCGGAGTTGCCAGCTCCTCAACAGTTGCTAGTTTGCTTATGTACTCTGGTGATTCTGCGCTAAGCTTGGATAGAACATCAGCCTCCGCGTTCTGCGCCCGGGGTATATGTTCAAGCTTAAACTCGAACCTTCCCAACATTTCCAATGATAAATCTCGATACCTCTTCATCCTCTCTTCCTTTTCTTCAAACTCCCCCGTGATTTGTCCCACCACTAGTCGGGAGTCGCTGAATACTTGAACCCTAGACACTCCCAACTTGCCCAGAATCTTCAGCCCATTGATCAGGGCCTCGTATTCCGCTTCATTGTTGGATACGTGGAACTGAAATCTGATAGCGTAATAAATCCGGAAATTTTCCGGAGTGATCAAGACGATACCTGCTCCGAAAGATCGAGACCCAGAAGATCCATCGATGCTCATTACCCACCAGTCATATTCCACCTGGACTCCAACCTGGGCTCTTGTCATTTCTCTGGCGGTGCACTCAACCTGAAAGTCGGCGAGTTCCTGCCCCTTGATTGATGGACGCGGCCTGAACTCCACATTATACTGACTGATGAAGACTGCCCACTTGGTCATCCGGGCAGATGCTGCCGGGCTTCGGGTAAGTGACGCCAAAGGCTCATTAGTGAGCACAACAATCCGGTGAGCCTGATAGTACGGAGTTAATCTCTTCGCCGTCTAGAAGACTGCTAACATGGCCTTCTCTAGACGGGAATACCTTAACTCCGCATCTCTCAAGGTCTTACTGACGTAGTAGACCGGATGTTAGGCTCCATTTTCTTCCCTTACAATCATAGTACTGATGGCGCAATCTGCAATTGCCAAGTATAGAGTCAGGATATCCCCAGGTTCCGGCTTAGATAAAACTGGCAGACTTGCCAGATATCTCTTCAGTTCTTCAAATGCTTCTTGAGATTCTTGCGTCCATTCGAAGGTCGCCCTCTTCTTGATTACTGTAAAGAATGGGTTCGCCTTCTCTGCCAGCTTTGAAAGGAAACGATTCAAAGCCGCCAATCTTCCTGTCAGCCGCTGAACTTCCTTTGCTGTCCTCAGGGGTTCCATCTCCATGATGGCCCTAACTTTTTCCGGGTTTGCCTCAATCACTTTCCGGCTAACCATGTGCCCAAGGATTTTCCACCCTGAACAGCAAAAGTACATTTCTTCGGGTTCAATCTCAAATTTACCTTCATCATGATTTCAAAGACCTCTTCAAGGTCCCGGACATGGTCTCGGGCTTCTTTGGACTTGACAATCATGTCATCGACATATGCTTCCATGGTTCGCCCTAGGACGGCCTTGAACACTTGAGAACCCATCCGGGTATATGTCACCCCGGAATTTCTCAGTCCAAAGGCCATAACCAAGTAGCAGTACAGCCCTTCCGGGGTCATGAAACTCGTCTTTTCAGCATCAGCCGGGTGCATCCGAATCAGATGGTAGCCGCTGAAAGCGTCCATGAAGCTCATTAACTCTGATCTAGCAGTCTCATCCACCATCTGGTCAATGTTGGGGAGAGGGAACGAATCCATGGGGCATGCCTTGTTCAAATCTTTGTAGTCGACGCACATTCTCCACGAAGGAGGCTTAGGCGCCAGAACTACGTTTGCCCACCAATCTGGGTATTGCACTTCCCGGAAGTGACCAATGCTCTGCAAGGTTGCTACCTCCTTCTTCACGAAATCTCTCCTTTCCTGCGACAAATGCCTCCGCTTCTGCTTCACCGGTTTAGCATCTCGCAGGACATTGAGGAGATGAACTGCAATCCTATGATCTAGCCCTGGCATATCATCTGGACTCCATGCAAAGACCTTCATGAACCTCCTAAGGACTGAGATTACTCGTGATCTGAGCTCAGACCCCAGGCCCTTTCCAATTCTGACTAACCTTCCCGGCGTGCCAGGCTCCAGTTCCACTTCTTCAATGTCGCCGACAACTTCTACTCTAGGACGTCTTTCCTCAGCCCTCAAGAGCTGTGCGGTCACCTCTCCCACTTGGGTATCATACTTGACAGGCTGTTTGGTTGCCTTCAATTACCACGCTCGGGACACTCTCTGAGATCCTCTGGCGATTCCAACTCCGTGGGGGGTTGGGAACTTTATGCACAGATGACGAGGTGAAATGACACACTCTAAATCTTCCAACCCGGGTCTGCCCAGGATGATGTTTGTGTTGGAGATTATCCCCACCACAACGAATTCCATATCCAACTTCCGGGTGGCCTTAGTATCCCCTATTTCGACCGGGAGAGTTATTACCCCCTCCGGCTCAATAGAAAGTCACCAGTGAACCCGGTAATTGGAGTCTTGATGGGTGATAATTCATCCCTTGTCAAGCCAAGAGCCTTGTACGTATCCATATACATGATATTAACGGAGCTTCCCGTATATATCCACAAGGGTTTTATGGATCAGTAAGTCCATTATATCAATAGTAATTACCAGGGCGTCCCTATGGGGGACCCCTGTTCTGGCAGATCAGCATTAGAAAATACAATTGGCTAAGTTTTCAGCTTCTTACCTTCTAGGACCAGCACCTTGTTGACCATCGTCGCATTGGCCCACTTCTTCCGGCTCGTGGCTGAATCTCCGCTAGTATTCCCTCCGATGATAAAGTTACACCCATGGTGTCTCTTCTGGCGGTTCGGTGCGGGTTCTGAATCCTTCTCTTCATCTTCCAGCCCGATGTGGCGTTTTTCCCGTGCCTCAGCTTGGGCTACCTCCTTATCTCGACGCTTCCCATTCTGAGCGTTCCCGGGATTTCCCGCCTCGCCATCCTGTACAAACTTCTTCAGATGGCCCCGGTGGATTAGCCTCGCCATCTCATTCTTCAAGGTATAGCAATCCTTTGTATTGTGATCGTTCTTGCGATGGTAAGCACACCATTTTCCAGTGTCCTCCACATTGCAAACCTTCTGAGAATAGGTCGGATAAGTCATGAGTCCCTGCTGTGTGGCGTGGGCCATGACCTCAGCCACCAGCAACGTGAAGACTGGATTGGCAGATTTGTGCTTCTTCGGGGTCCCAGGGTTTGTGCCCTTTGGGCCATCCGGGAAACCCTGCTTCTTGTTCTTGAACGGCTTCTTATTTCACGCCTTCTCTTCTTCTTTAGGAGTCTTCTCTTTCTTCTCCTCCTTTCTCTCCTCCAGGGTCACATACCTTCCGGCCCGGACCATTGCTTCTTCAAAGGTATCCGGGGGATGAGTCGTGAGATCAGTATGAAGGAGACCGTCCTGCAATGCCGCCGTGAACATGGCTAACCTGGATTTGTCGTCGGTTCCTTCAACCTCCCTGGACTCTTTTCTCCATTGGATAAGGAAATTCGTCAAGGACTCTCCGTGCTTCTGCCGCACTGAAGCCAGATGAGTGAAATGCTTCTTGGGACAGCAGTTCCTGGCAAAATGCTCCAAGAACCGCAATCCCAATTCATCCCATGTCCGGATTGATCCGGCAGGAATGTGGTTCACCCAATCCGCCACCTTGCTATCTACTGTTTGCAAGAAACACCGGCACATCAATGCGTCGCTGGCATCAACGGCAATCATCACCTGGACATAGCTATTTATATGTTCCTGGGGATCCAACTCCCCATCATAACGTTTAACGAACGACATCTTGAATCCATGCGGGTATGGTTCTGCAAAGATCTCCGGGGCTAAGGGAGTATTCGTCCGGGTAGTGAATACTCGTCCCCTGTTTATCTTTTTCTGCATCTCCTGGATCTGCAGCCTCAGATCCTGGAATTTGCCAGCTTTCGGTACCGGCGGCCCCAGACGCTGTGGCGCTGGGACCTGACTTGGCTTTGAACTTCGTCCTCATCCAGAACCACCAATGACCGGACCGGCGCTTGGCTCCCACCGCGGCCGTTTCGCTTCCAGGGTTCACGGTTAGAAGACGCCACCTGGCTGGCCTGGGGTCGTATCCAACCCTGGGGTGCTTTGTCCGGATTCTTCCCCAGCCTCTCACTAACGTGAGCTTTTTGGCGAGATATCCTTTCAAAGACAGTTCCCCGCGGGTTTTCGTTTCCATTGCCGACGACCTGGCTTGCAGCCTTGGCCCAATCTCCATTCACCTTACTATTCCGGGCCAATTCCTCCGCCCGGCGTCTAGCAACGGCCTGTCTCTCCCTCTCGACCTCCTCTGGATCATGAAGCTCTTGGAGGATGGGAGAACTCGCAGTACGCAGGACCTGGCGGGGTTGCCCGGCAGGGATGTCCCGGGTACCAGATGGACCAGGGAGAGCCTTATCCAACCGTTCCATAATGTTGGCCATCATGTTAGCCACATTATTCAACGCTGTTTCCAACCCATTGACAGGATCGATCATACCCTGTTCCGGGTTGTCACTCGTCACCGTCGTTTGGGCGGAAGCAGCGGTGTTACGTCTCGTCCTTCGTCCGACCATAATCTCACAGCTTTATCTCACAGTTTTTCTCTCAATGAAAGCACCAATGATGGGATTAACCCGATCAGATGGCGGACCAAGAACGTAATATGGATCAGAAAGATATAATTACTCGATAATATTCTTTGATTAAGTATGGAATTACTTCATGTCTCCCTTTACAATGGCGGATTCTCCCCCTTTTATAGTACATCTAATATTGCAATTAAAATTATACAAGATGGGAGAAATTCTGGAGATCATGGGGTTGTGATCCCCTCTTTTTCGGTCTCGTTCTCTTCCCATCTCGTCCAAAACTTAATGATGTGGGCCACGTGTCCCATTCCTCTCTTGGACTGGGTCACCTTGATTTAATCCATCATTGGGCCGTCTTTTTCCATTGCCACACGCGTGGTATCGGGCTCGGCCCGTTACCCCCACCTGGCCTTATACGTCTCGCGCTATTATGGGCCTTCATTGGGCCTGGAGTCGGGTCCATCAGACCCGATATCCATCACCTTTTTCTCTATTTGCTCCCTCTTCGAGATCGACGGGCAAAAACAAACATCCATTTTTTTTTTCTCTTGGTCAGCGGCAGCAGAGGTGGATCCAGGAATCTTAAGCCATGCGGTCCCTGTTTAAGTTTTTTTATTCAAACTAAATTTCATTTAAAACTAACTAAAAATATGTTCTATGTGAATGACATTCTAAATTTAATAATCAAGTAGATTTTTTATAGTCATAAATTTTGCATTGGAAAAATCCTTAGCTTAAAGGATAAAACTTATTAGAGTATCTACAACCACAAGTTTAATCTTCTGGTTTAATTTGTTCATTGGCATGATGTCAAAGTTTTGCTGACCTAGAAGTCACAAGTTTAAATCTCACCACCACCCAATTAAAAAAATAATTAATATTCACATGCAAGACTCGAGCATAAACAAAATTTGTCCACTCATTTGGGGGCTTTTAGAGCATAAACAGAACTCAATTGTTATAAATGATGCTTTCTTGTGAAAAGTTTTAAATGAAGAAAGTTTAGGTTTAGATTTTGTTTGGAAATAACATTTTCAAATATTAGTGTTAGCGTTTTTGAAAAAATTAAATATATAAATTAATTTTAAAAATAGTAAAGTCAAACGCTACCGTTAGATAAACTTTTCAAAATATTAATACTAAACGCTGAAATTGTTTTCGAACATATTCCTATATATACTTTTTTACATAAGTTTCAAAGGTAATATTTAATATTGATTGTCCTCTTCTAAAAGAAATTCATTTATTTTTATTAGAATTTTAAGTACATAGATGAAAAATAATATTTATGTGATTGAGAAATACTACCTCCGTCCCAATGTATTTGTCCAGTTTGACTTTTTCGAGTCAAACTGGACAAATTTTGAACTCCAATTACTCTCAATTTGTATTGCATATTAGCATAATAAAATACAGTTTTAAAAGTTCTCAATACGATAAATCCAATAAAGTTATTTTTATGTTAAAATACATTACGATTTTTTTCATTGAAGCTCAAAGTTTGTCAGGTTTGACTCGAAAAAGTCACACTGGACAAACACACTGGGACAGAGGAAGTAGATAGTATAAGAAGACAAATAAAGACTATGTGCCATTTAGAAAAAAACGAGTATGCAAAGTTACAGGCTAGAAACATTTTTTTTTAATATTCTTATATATATAAGAAAAGTTTAAGAATCAAACAAAGCATATACAGTGATACTGGAAGTACCCGTGAAGCCCCGGGGCTTGAAACCGGGGCTTCACAATTTCTCTCTCTGCCACGTCAGCTTTAACTTACCTCACAGATTCAGTGGAAATGGGTTTGAAGCCCCGAGGCTTCAAACTGTGGCTTCAAACCTTCATTTTTACATTTTTAAATATAAATCTTCTAAAACTAAATTAATAAAATTTAATTATTTTATTATTTAATTATATTGAAACAAGAATAATTTAAAAAAATACATTCATTAAATTTAAATAAATTGAAACGACAATAATTTTAAAAAATTGCATTCATTAAATTAAAAAAAAGAAAGTGACAATAATAAAAAAGATACATTAATAAAAAAACTAAGGTAAATTATATTTGGCCTTGATCTCTTTTTGTCTTCTCTGGAAGATCATCCGTTTGAAGCTCGATAACGTAGAAAGGTCGGTTTCCATGATTTTGATCTCGTCCTTCTCCTCCTTTTGCTTCATCCTCTCTTCTTCTCGATTATTGAACACCCGAAGTTGTTCAACCATTGCCCGCCCGATATCGTCGCGAGAAGAAACGGAAATAGAGCCAGACCCTCCAGAACCCGAGGCAATGGATTTTGCCTTCTTTCTTGCGATCGGCCGTGTAATGGGATCCTCGTCATCGAAATCCGCAACGTTGAAGGGAAGCATTTGTTCGGACGAACCGATAGTGTCGTCGACCTCAACCTCGGCGTCAATGGAGGATCTTTTCTTTGACGATCCGCCATCGGGATTGTTGAGTTGTTGTCACTTCGGGGAATGACTAAAAATCCTCCAAAGATCGATGGGCACCTTGCCTTGGTGCCCGTCATCTTGATACCTGGTCATGGCAAGCCGGAGAACATCGGCGTTGTTCGTCCCGCTCCTCTGGGACGGGGCGCATTCCTCGTAAACTCCGATAAACTTTTGGACTTTACGGTTGATGTGGCTCCATTTGGAAGTGAGTTTGTCCCGGGTACGGTAGGAGCCGTCCTTGTTCATCGCCGTGAAGAACTTCTCCTCGATACGATCCCACATCGCATCCCTCGTTTGCTCAGAACCTTTAAAAAAGTTTAACACGATTATATATAATTTTATATAAATAAAAACATAAATATATTAGAAAAAATATAATTTTTACCAACGATAGGATGCTCGGAGACGTCAACCCAAGCCGACGCCAATAATAAGCACTCTTCCTCCGGCGTCCACTTTTGGATTGACCGTGCCGCCTCGTTCATCGTGCCTTTCGCTTTGTGGCTCTTCCAGCGTGCACTTTTTTTTGGTGCCGGATGGTCCCGGTTGAGTCTCCGGAACCGACTCTCGCTCGGCGTACCCCGATTGTTGCATCTCGAACATCGGCGGATGATTCCCGAATTGTTGGAAATACCACATCGCGTGCTCGTGAGGCTCGAGATCGTCGGGGAAGAAGCCGGAGCCGCAAGGATTCATGTTCAAAAGAGAGTTGGAGAATTGAAGAATATGTGAAGCTAGATGATTGAAGAAGATTGAAGGTGTGAGAATGGGAGGAGGAGGAATTTGAAATTTTAAAAAAAATAATTAATTCTTTTTTGGTTTCAACGGCTATATTAGCCGTTAGGGGGGAATCATGCGTCAAAACAATGACGGGGAAGCTGTGACGCCGCGGTGAAGCCCCAGGTGGCAGTATTTAACGCCCCCTAGGCGTGAAAAGGCCAATAACACCCGTCGGCGTTAGGAGTATTTCCCTTACTCTAAGAATCAAACAAAATAGTCTGCACAACCCATGTGAAAGAAAAAAAATCTTATCTCATAGAGGCTAATATATATACGGAGTGTAAGAGTTTATGTATAAGAGGCAATACTCGATCTTTTCTCTCTCATAAACTTATAAAGAATAAAAAAAATAGATACACCCTATACTACTTACTATCCATCCTCCTAAGTAAAGAAGAGTTAAACACTTGTCCAGAATGATGCTAGATATATATATATATATATATATATATATATATATATATATATATATTAAACCGAAATATTTAAAAGGAAATGAAATAGATACACCCTATATATATATATATATATATATATATATATATATATATATATATATATATATATATTAAACCGAAAGAAAACCACCAAAATCGGTGGGGTAAGGCCCAGGCATCCTTACCAAGTAGATTAAAGAGTAGAATGTACAAGAAATGATGTGAGTTGGGCTAAAACTCAACACAGCCCAAAAACACAAATGAAGAGCAAAATACATTCCAAAAACGAAAAAAGTGTTGTTGCGCCTTCATCTTCAACCTTTAACCGTTGAACTCTGAGTCAACTCAAGGTAGACGTTCTTTATCGACTAAGATAAGCTTTCAGGTTCAACGCTTCAATTTCTTCCCTAGTCGCAATTATCTGTGCTTTTTTGTTGGACCAGAACCAGTGTTGGACAAGTTTCTGAATTTTGATAATGAGACCTATCTTAGATGGTTTATAATTGTCATATAGGCATCTGTTATAAATCTTCCAAAGTGTCCATATAATGCATCCTGGTAGAATTAGTTTAAGAAGGCCTTGAAGTGATTTTTTGTTGTGACTAGTCCACCATTCCAAAAGGTGTTCTTTCATATCACTTCCTCTTCTCCATTTAGGGCCACCAGAGTATTCAGCAAAATCATTCCAAATTGTTGCAGAAAAATCACAGCTCAGTAGTGTGTGTTCATCAGTAGCCTCATGTTTATTGCAGAAGTTGCATTTGCTAGGCAGATTGAATGATAGTTTGTTAAGAACCTTAGGAAAGGGAAGGTAATGGTTGACTGCTTTCCAAGTGAAGAGTTTCACCTTAGGAATTTGAAATTTGTTCCAGGAGAGAGTGTTAAACTGAGTGCTAATATCCCTTTCTCTAACTGCCCAGTAAGCTTCCTTGAAAGTAAAGGTCCCATTTACCCATGTGATATCATTATCTTGCATATTAGAATGCTGAAAACCCAGAGGTGCAATTCTACATATTCTTTTCCAGGATGCAGAGTCATACACCTTTGCTTCAAAAAGACCGTCCCTGTAGTATTTATTCTTCACAAACTGTGCCCAAATTGTGTCACCAGTGATGGCCTTCCACCAAAGCTTTAGGGCAGAAGCTCTTTGAATATCAAATAAGCTTCTGATTCCAAGACCACCTTCTCCTGTAGGTCTGCAAAGAGAAACCCACTTGGCCCAATGATGCTTGTTCTTTCCAAATTTAGAACCCCAAAAGAAGTTGGCTAACTTAGAATGGATCAGGTTGATGACAGATAAAGGGAGGTCTTGCACTGCCATTGTGTGTAAAGGGATTGCACTAAGAACATGTTTGATAAGAATTAGCCTACCCATAGGATTCAATTCCTTACTATACCAGCTATTGAGATAAGCATCAAAGTGGCTGAGGAGGTGATCACAATGAATTCTTTTTAGCTTTCCAGGAAAGATATTAGAGCCCAAATATTTGAAAGGAGGTTTCCCAATCTTGAATCCCAAAGCCTCCTCTACTTTTATGATGTAGTTTAACCTACTGGATTTGCTGCAAAAAATTGTGCTCTTTTTGTTATTAACTTCTTGACCTGAGGCTTGGAGATAAGTGTACAGAGTGTATTTGAATCTTAGCAGATTCCTAATATCACCCCTAAGAAACACAATCAAATCATCTGCATAAGCCAAGTGGGAGACAACCTAACTCCTTCCTGCCTTGTATGGGGATAAAAATCCTGAAGAGATTGCATGCTTAAGGCTCCTAGAAAACCCTTCTGAACCAATAATAAAAAAGAAGGGGAGATAAGGGATCTCCCTGTTTAACTCCTCTCTTAATTTTGAAAAATCCAGCAGGCCTTCCATTAACCAGGATAGACATATATGTGGATTTTAGATTCTGCAGAAGTAGTGCTGTGCAGTTCTCATTAAATCCAAAAGCTTTAAGAATAGCCTCTAGGTAATTCCAAGACATCTTGTCAAATGCTTTAGCCATATCAAGCTTAATCATCACATTGCCACCCCTTGTTTTAGAGTCCAGGTTGTGCATGTACTCATTGCTGAGTAAAATATGTTCTTCAATACCTCTGCCTTTCAGAAACCCCGCTTGCTCTGGGGATATGATTTTATCTAGAAGGGGAGCTAATCTGCTTGATAGTATTCTAGATATAATCTTGCTGAAAAAAGTAGATAGTGCTATAGGTCTACAGTCCCCAATCTCTTTAGCCCCTTCAGTCTTGGGAATTAGAGTGATGAGTGAGCTCCCAAAGGCCATAGGCAGTGGTATCCCTAAGAAGAATTCCTGCACAGCACTGACCATGTCCATCTTGATAGTGTCCCAAAAGTATCTAAAGAATTCACCATTAAATCCATCTGGACCTGCTGAACTATTGGGATTAAGATGCCACATTGCACTTTTAATCTCTTCCTCAATGGGAAGCTGAAGTATGACCTGATTATCATGTTCTGTAATAAGGGTGGGAATGTGTTGGATAATAGGATCTAGATTTCCACTGTGCTCCTCAGTAAAAGTATTCTCAAAGTGTTTAGCTATATAAGTGGATAGTTCAACATGATCAACCATTTCCTTACCTTCTTGGTTTTTCATGAATCTAATAGAGGCTTTTCTTCTTTTCCCTTTAACAAAGGAATGAAAGAATTTTGTAGAAATATCCCCTTCAGCAAGCCATTTGATGTTTGATTTTTGGGCCCAGTAGCTCTCCTCCTGCTTACAAATTTTTAATAAGTTAGCATTAGCTAGGTTACTGGCCTCCCTATTGGCTGGAGTGTCTTCCCTCTCAAAGATTTCCTGAGCCTTTAGAGCTTCAGTTTCTGCTTCCTTGACTTTAGAAAAAATATTACCAAAGGTAGTGTGATTCCAGTCTTGGATAATCTTCTTTAAAGCCTTGAGTTTATTTGCCAGTCCCCTCATACCTCTACCATTATCAGTGGAATCCTAAAATTCCTTGACGATTCCATGAAAACTAGGGTCCAAAGTCCAAGCATTAATGAACCTGAAGGGCTTAGGTCCATTATACTGAGAGTTTGAACAGTTCAAGGTTTTTCCAAAGTGATAAAGATAAATATCAGAGAAGCTATCCATAGTAGCTTGACTGATGAGTACCCTGTCAAGCCTTCGCAAAACTCTTCCTTTTGATCTGTTTCCCACCCAGGTAAAAAAAGAGCCTTTAAGACTAGGTTCTAAAAGATTACAACTCAGAATACAATCTCTGAAGTCCTCCATGCTTTTGGAACAAGAAGTGCCATTCCCCTTACGTTCAGAGAGGGAAACGATAGTATTAAAGTCCCCACCAACTATCCAAGCCTGTTCCTCAGGATTGTGTTCCATAAGAGAATCCCAGAGATGAATTCTCTCTGCCCTACTGTGCATCCCATAGACTGAACTGATAAATATATTTGTATGAGAGATAAGGTTTGTGAAGAGGCAAGTGGTGATTTGGTCACCTTCTTGAACTTGTAAGAGAGATAGGGTGTTGGAGTCCCAGAAAATCCAGCATTTATTAAATTGGATAGAAAAGCCATGACTATAACCCAGTTTGAGTTTGTAAAAGTCAATATGTTTTTCAGCCACAATAGGTTCAAAAATGGCTAAAAAGGCAAATTTATAATTTTTTTGAGCATGTTAAGTCTGTACAGAGAGGACTTAACACCACACACATTCCAAAAGAGAGCCTGCATTGGGAACTGTTGGAGGAAGTAAGCTTATTAGCAGACCTGAGCCTGGATTTAATAGATTGATCAATGGTTTTTTGTTCTACTTTTGCAGTTTGTAGAGGAGCTTCATCTTTCCAATGCAAGTCACTGACCACTCCCAGGTCTTCATACTCCGAATCATCACTATCAGAATCATTATTGTCTAATGAATGAAGAGGGGTAAAAATTGATTCTTCAATTGTTGGTAAGGGTTTCCAGAGTACAAGAGCAAGATTTTTACCCTCTCTGTCCTTATCCTTGGTGTTTTGAGGGTGAAGTGGGACCGGATCTGTACCTGCAGTGTGAAGCTTGTCTTGTAGCTGTTTATTTTGTTCCACAGGTGTAGTGTTTGAGCATTCCCCAGGACCTGACTGGAAAGGGCCCATTTTCCTTTTCCAGACTTTATTGACCCCACCATTCCTTGCTGTGACTTTTGTCCATTCTTCCTTAGCTGGTTCTTTTCCTTTGTAAGAGTGATTTGGAAGCTTTGGGGCTGAATTAGATTCCTTTTCCTGCACAATTTTTCTTTGTTCATCTCTTTTGCAAGATCCTTTATGATGACCAAGCTTCTTGCATTCAGTGCAATAATGAGGAACATTCTCATAAATTAAAGAGATAAAGGAGTCTTTATCCCCTAATTTTAGGTGGACCTTGGAAGGTAAAGCTTTGGAAACATCAACTTCAACACAGAATCTGGCCAAGTCTGGGCGAGAGAAGTTAAGAGTGTTCTCATCCACCTTAAGAGGCCTACCTATAGATGAACCAATCAGGGAAAGAGCCCTTTGATCATGGAGATAGATGGGGAGCTTTGGGCATGAAACCCAGACAGGAACAATAGGGCAGTCTTCTCCTTCAATATAGTCAGGAGTCCACTTGGTAACCACCATAACATGGCTACCTATAGACCATGTTTGTCTAAGAAAAAATCTCTGATAATCTTCCTCTAACTGAAAGTTTAAGAGAACCTGGTTGGAAGAAAGTTTTCCAAGTGAATATGATCCTTTGAAGCCCAGCCTCTGTAAGAAATTCTTCACGACAATGTATGCTGGTCGGCGGTTGAATGTACCAATGAGAGCATAGTTGAATCTTTGAGATAATTTGTAGATATCTTCTGTTGTAAATGAAACTGATGGACATCCTTTAAAAGTACCTTGTGTAATACCTTGAAGTTTTTCATCTTGTGGTAGAGAAGAGAGAACTTCCGAGAATAGTTTTTTCCGGCCATTAGTTCCGGCAAGGATTGCCGTCTCTCTCTCCTTCTCTCTCTCTAGACATATATATATATATATATATATATATATATATATATATATATATATATATATATATATATTGGTTCTGGTGAGAATGCGATCTTAGGAGAGAAATGAGAATGAATCTGGTGCTTTAGATTGTGAGATCTAAGGGTCAGGATTGCATCAAAATTAGGTGCAACAAAATAGTTTGAAAATGCATCACGTCGAAATGCATCATAATCCTTTGAAAATGCAGTATCTCAAGATCTGAGCGCAGGATGGAATCTGAGCCACACGATGCATTAGATCCAACGGCTAGATTTCATTCTCATTTCTCTCCACAAGGTGCATTCTCACAGGAACCGGCCCATATATATATATATATATATAATTTGGTTCTGGTGAGAATGCAATCTTAGGAGAGAAATGAGAATGAATCTGGTGCTTTAGATTGTGAGATCTAAGAGTCAAGATTTCATCAATATTAGATGCATCAAAATGGTGCGAAAATGCATCACGACGAAATGCACCATAAACATTCGAAAATGCACTATCACAAAATCTGGGTGCAGGATGCAATCTGAGCCGCACGATGCATCAGATCCGACGGCTAGATTTTATTCTCATTTCTCTCCACAAGGTGCATTCTCACGGAACCGGACCCTATATATATATATATATATATATATGTATATATATATATATGTATATATATATATAGAGAGAGAGAGCCATGGTAAATTCATCTAGATTTTATACTCTTCATATGATTTTTTTTATTTATTCTTATGAATTTTAAATTTTATTCTTTGTTTTAATTTATCAAAAACATGATTTTCTGATGTGAAGGATCCCAAATTAGGGCAATCACAGAGCATACTTCTCATAGTTTTGAGAAAATATTTTATAAAAAATATAAAGAATTTCTTGATGAAATATACCTATGACAAGAACAAAGTTTCTGGGATTTTGAGCAAATTCGTGCTGATAACGTGTTATAAAATGAGAGAAAAACTACTCAAAGATTATGAGAATGGATATAATATATTTTTGATTTCTTCTGTCTATTAATTCTTCACTCTTCTTCTTGTTCTTATTGGTATTTTGCACGAATCCTAAGCCTCCTATTTATAGAAGAGAGGCTTAGTGGTAACACTATTACAAATAGTATACATACTATAAAAATGGCAACTTGATGGTGATGATAGACAATTTGTTCCTGCAACTATGATGGAGCATGATCTAATTAATTGATAAATGAACAATTCATATTTTTCTTAACAAAAAGATTTTTAATTTTTTTTGCTTTTGATAATTTAGGTTTTTTAAACTCAAATCTCTAAGATTTCACTTGAAGAAATCGTATTTCTTTGAAGACATTTTTTCTTTCATTTTAGCTAGAAAAATAGGAGAAAAATTTTTCTTTCATTTTAGCCATAAAAATAGGAGAAAAATTATTTCTTTAATTACGAATTCCACGAGCCAAGCATTGGGTTAAAGACTTAGCCAAAAATGTACTCCCCTCACAATATTGAAGCTAAGCTACTTAATTAATAATTATATATATATATATATATATATATATATATATATATATATATATATATATATATATATATATATATATATATATATATATATATATATATGGTGGATATTTTCTTTTTTGCAAAAGCCCAATTCTTTTGTGTTACAAATACATTAAAGTCCATAAAATAAATAGGGATCTTAGATCCATTGAAGAATCTGCCTTTAACTAAATCCTAATCCCTCAATTTTTGTCTTTTTATATTTATAGAGTGAATTATCAAAATAGTCCTTTCTAATAAAGTATTTTTCCAAATTAGTCCTTAATAAGTAATAATTACCCGTATGATCCTTTATAATTTAAATTTATTCCCTAAATAACTATTTACTTAAACTGTCTATTAAATGTCAATCAAATAGAATATTTTTTTGGTATTTTCTATGATCTAGATTTAAAGGGTGTTCTCAAAATGATCATTTATAATTAAGTATTTTTCCAAAATGATAATTTCTAAGTAAATGTTTTCTCGAAATGGAGTCCATGAGCCTACTCGGGGTAGGTCTGTTCTTCTAGCAGCCACCCGCTTAATTTGAAAGAAATATTTTTAATATTTATTCATAGTTTTGATGATAAAAAATATCAAAATATCATCCATTTATTTATCATTTAATAGACCTTTTTGTAAGATGACTATTTAGGAAATATTTCTCATTTACAAAAGATCGCGTTGATAATTATTGCTTATTAGGGACTAATTTAGGAAAGCACTATATTAAAACGGACATAATTCACACTTAATTATATGCCAATATCTTTTTTTAGCATTGGCTAGTTAGACCAATTCGCATTCAGATGCGGAGATAATACTAATATCTGGAGTTGTTGTCGTATAAGGCTAATAGTGTTAAGAATAAAGATAATAGAAATATTATCAAGAACAATATGATAGAGATATACCTTGATAAGAACACAAATGGAAGATCAAAGTGCAATGGAGAGTGAAAGAGAAAGAATGCAATGAGAGTACAGTGCTTATAATGCTCCCCCTGAACATGGCAAAAAAATCCTTGAGTTGACGCATTCCAATACCATTGATCATCTTCCTAAATGTCGTAGTTGGCAATGCCTTTGTGAACAAATCCGCTAGGTTATTGCATGACTGTATCTGACGAACCTCAATTCCACTTTTCTGAAGCTTGTGCGGATAGAAGAATTTTGGTGATATGTGCTTCGTCTTGTCGCTTTTGATGTAGCCACTTTTAATTTGTGCAATACAAGCAGCATTATCTTCATAGAGTAATGATGGAGCCTTATTCAAAGATAATCCACAAGTTTCTCGAATGTGATGAACCATTGACCTTAACCATATGCATTCTTGACTTGCTTCATATAGCGCCATTATCTCTGAGTAATTTGACGAGGTTGCAACTAGTGTTTACTTTACTGATCTCCATGATATTGCAGCACCACCACAAGTAAAAACATATCCACTTTGCGATTTACCCTTATGTGGGTCAGAAAGATAACCAGCATCAGCGTAACCAACAACTAGTGATTCCCAACCTATCGAATAAAATAGGCCCATATCAATTGTTCCACGAAGATAACGTAATATATGTTTAACACCATTCCAATGTCGTCATGTTGGTGCTGAGCTATATCTTGCCAACAAATTAACCGAAAGGCTATATCAGATCTAGTACAATTTGCAAGATACATTAGCGCTCCTATAGCACTTAAATAAGGTACCTCCGGACCTAAAAGTTCTTCATTATCTTCTCGAGGACGAAAAGGGTCCTTTACATCCAATGATCGAACAACAATGGGACTGCTCAATGGGTGTTGGTTATCCATGTAAAATCGTTTTAGGACCTTTTCCGTATATGTTGATTGATGGATAAAAATCCCATTTGATACATGCTCGATCTGCAGGCTGAGACAAAATTTGGTTTTCCCAAGATCTTTCATTTCAAACTCTTTCATTAAATAGTTTGTAGTCTTTATTAACTCTTCTGGTGTTCCAAAAAGGTTTAAGGCCCCGTTCCGTTCAACTTATTTTTTCTTATTCTTATTAAAATCAGATCAGATCAGATCAGATCGAATCAGATCAGATCAGATCAGATCAGATCGAATCAGATCAGATCAGATCAGATCCAATCAGATCAGATCAGATCCAATCAGATCAGATCAGATCCAATCAGATCAGATCAGATTCAATCAGATTAGATAAGATCAGGACTTATTAAAATCAGATCTCATCAAGAATTATTATTATTATTATTATTATTATTATTATTATTATTATTATTATTATTATTATTATTATTATTATTATTATTATTATTATTATTATTATTATTATTATTATTATTGTTGTTGTTGTTCTTAAAAATGACAATGTCAATCTAATTCTACTTTTAAAATACGGAGTATATTTTTATTGCTACTTGTAATTTGAGTTTCTAATGTTTTGATCTTTTATAAGGATGAAATATTTTAATAAAAATACTATCTCTTCTATATATTGATTATATAAATTTAATTACTTTTTAATGTATATCTAAATTAAATATTTATTATAATGTATAATTCTAATTTTACAAAAAAAATTATTATAAAATAAAAAATATTATTACATTATCATATGAATGATTATTCTAATATATGAATTAATATTTTTATTTTATTAAAAAATAATCATTAAATAAAAAATATTGATTATATTATAATATGAATTATCATTACAATTTTCAAACGTTATTATAAAGTCAAATTAAATAATTAATTTGAAATTTTAAATTAAATCATAATTAATCAGATCAGACCAGATCAGATCCAATCAGATCAGATCAGATCTAATCAGATCAGATCAGATCCAATCAGATCAGATCAAATCCAATCAGATCAGATCAGATCCAATCAGATCAGATCAGATCCAATCAGATCAGATCAGATCAGATCCAATCAGATCAGATCAGATCAGACCAGATCAGATCAGAACTTATTAGAATCAGATCAGATCAGAAAAAATAAGTTGAACGGAACGGAGCCTAAGTCATCTACATATACTACTATGATAGAAAATCCAACTTCAGATTTCTTGATGAAAACACATGGACAAATTGGATCATTTATGTAGCCTTCTCTAACAAGGTATTCACTAAGACGGTTATACCACATTCTACCAGATTGTTTCAATCCGTATAATGATCTCTGTAACTTGATGGAGAATAACTCACGAGCTTTCTGATTGCATGTTTCAAGAATTTTGAACTGAGTACTTTATTCATCATATGTCGGGGTATTTATACATACACAAGGAGGAGGTAAAGTCTAGGTAA